TAATTTCGAGAGTTAATTAGTCTGAAGTTATGTAATCTGTGTTCAAAGTGTAGAATTGTTTAGTAAGAAATTCTAAGTACTATGTTCAAAGTATAAAGGTGTTAAGTTTACTGATTTTTTTTTTTGCTATAATTTTATTGTATTATACTCTACATTCCAACAAAATTTTCAATTTCAAATTAATAGATACTTGTTCCATGTAAATTCAAATTTTGATATTTTTTAATGTTATATATGGTTTTATTAATAATTTGAAATTTTGTTTTAAGTAGTTGTTTTTGATTTAGCTCGGAACAATAATTAAGGTAGAAAAATACTATATCAAGTACAATAGTTTATGATGGAAATAACTTACAAAATTACGTGCAATGGCTAGTCAAGGGAGAAACACAAAATTATGATTACAAAAGGTCATAGCACGAGCAATCATTTGTCCTTTTCGATGAGATGCATGCATTGTTAATTAAGAAAGAGATGGACTAAAAAATTATTGGTTTTCTTGAGATYAGTGAACAACATATTTATAAGTTGTGAAAAATGAGGTTTGATAACTATAATTAAACAAGTTTGTATAATAACTTGTTAAAATAAATAACATCGGTAAGATTAAGTCAAAGAAAATTTTAGTACAACAGTGGAGAGTAGAGGATTCAACCCCATAACCTCTTACTCATAAAAAGATATGTCAATTACAATTGAACTGAGTTAGAAAAAAAATGTGTGCAAACAAATTGTGGAAAGAAGTAAATTTGAAAACTATAACGAAAAAAATATTTTATATGTATTTTGTTTAAAACTTTTCTTGGGAATTATAATAGCACTTTTTTTTTTGTGAAAAATGATATTTGTAAATGGAACCCTATTGTTTTTTTTAACGTATAATTTAAATCAACTTCCAAGAGGATATCTTTAAGAATTTCAAGAAGATTAAACAGAAATAATGACTTAAAGTAGATACATACAAACTGTTTGGAAAAAAAATWAAAAACAGGAGGTTCGATGTTCTCTAGATGATCTTGAACAAGAAATTATAATTGTTAGGTTCTCCATTCTATGGCTTGAGAACTTTTAGAGGCTTCAATTAATAAAAGCAGCGTTTGATGATTGATCATACATGATTCATCTTCAAGACTAGTTCAATAATCAAAGTGATTTTTAGTTATTTAGTTTGTAAGGCTAAAGCCTGACCGAGGTGATGCATTCTTTCGTAAACATCTTTTCGTCCTAACTCCATAAATTTCACATGTTCTCAGTAATAAAAATGAGCGAAAAAAGAGAGATCACTACAAGATGCGAAGATTCAAATAATACAAATTAAAAACTGAAAAATGAGACAATAAAAAAGAAAATTTATGTACAAAAAATAACAATTGGAAAAACACAATCAATGCCTACCTCACCATTCTAATCGAGTCAAAATCATTGTCCTCCGATCGACTATGAAGAAAACCAAATCAAAGGAGGGAATAGAGCTCCAAGTCTAGTAAACAGCACGTCAAGACGTCGATTGCCGTCGTTACAAGTACGTCGCTGGAGATAGAATTAACTCGTCGTTGGGTGACTTGTGAGGAATAATYGCCAGGAGATCTATGATTTGGTTCCAAATTAAATCACCACCGTTCAAGATGTCGCCGATCGTCGAGTTGTCGTGAGGAGAGAGATGGAAAGGCGAGTAATGTAAAAAGTCACAAGGGTTGTCAAAACTATATGGACTTAAACAGTAATTACAGTTGAAGTTAACCGTAGTTTAATATGTTTGTTTGTTGAACATGGAGTGGGTTTCCTCAAACGCCACTCCTTGACTTCAACAATGGTGTTTTGAGAACAATGCAAAATCTTTTCACCTTTCTAACAGTGATTGAGTTTAAGTTTTTACTGTTTTACTATTTAGAGGATTTTTTTTAATTACTATTTTACATGTTAATAAACTCTAAACCAACTTAAATTTTATAGGTCTGCAGTGGGAAGATATCAGTGTACATTGGGAAAATATTGGAGGCTGGATCAATCTTATCTTCACCATCTTCATTCAACAACTAAGAGAAAAAAATATAAAAATAAATATATTTTTTCAAATATTGAGTTGTCCATTTTTCAAAAGTGGTGAGAACAAATTTAGTCTTCACCGATAAGGAGTCAAATATTTTATTTATTATTGAGTATTCTTCCTGAGAAAAAAAACGGATCTATTATTAAAAAGTAGAAAATTACATAAATAACCTCTAAATTTTAGAATTTTTAGAATAATGACCACATCAATTAGAAAAAGTGCTAGATAATCAAGTAGATGATAGTGGTTTTTATTAACACGATCGTTTTTAATTTTCTCTTTGTCCTCTTCCTCTAAAGTCACTACAATTCACCTTATTTCAACATTTTCCTCTAATATTTTGTTAATCTTGTATTTAAAGAAGGCGACACACCTGTTAGAGTTATTTATTAACGATTTTCAAATAGAAACCAGGATATGAATTGATTCAATGATTTTAATTAATACAATTATAAGTTTAGGATTTTAATTGATTCAACCTCCCTATAGGCTATAAGTTTAGAGTATAAACTAATTTT